AACGAGACAGTAGTGCTGGTGCCTTTCACCAGCTTCGTCCACTTACAGTGGTTTCCAATTAGCTTTTGGGTCCAGTTCGAAGTGCTGGTATTGACCTTTAAAGCCCTCTACAGCTTGGGGTCAACATATCTTAAAGTACCCCTATCACCTGACCACTACAGTTATCTTCAGGGGCCCTTCTTTGGGTGCCCTTGCTGTCTGAGGCCGGATGGCTGAAAAACTGAGAAAGGGCTTTCTCAGCCATGATACCGAAATTATGGAATTCCTCCTCAGAGAGATTGTAGCATTATGAAGTCAGACTTTTTACACTACTTATTATAAGTTGCCTTGTGGTGGTGATGAGCTAGATGAGAACCAATAAATTGAAGTTGACAGTAGTACTGACTATGGAATAAGGGTGTGTGCATGGGGCTCTGGTCACATGCATCCAAAGTTGATTATGGTAATGCTTTCTACATGAGATTGCCTTTGAAGACTGCTCAGAAACTTCTATTTAAAACATTTTTATGCCACCTTTCCACCCAGTTTATGGTGCCCAAGATGGCAAAGAATCAAAGACATCAAAACAAGCTATTGAAAGACACAGAATACAAACCACGATTAAGCAAAACACAGAAAGGAGAGTCAGTGAAGGAACGCCAAATGAAACTGGTATGCCTTTACCCACTTGTGGAAAGCAATGATAGCAGGAAACAGACAATTCTTTTCTTACCATGATGATGTCTCCTGGCTGGATAGTGATTTCATCATGGCTTCGGGATTCAAAAGGATACAGTGCTCGATAATATACTATTTTTACATCTTCCTGAGCAGAAATTGTTAGTGGAGCCTTTTCTATATTCATGAAAACAAAAATATTTAACAGGTTATATTGTATGTGAAAATCAGGTCTTTTGATTTGCATTGAAGTGTCTGATCAGTTCTTATACTATAATACTTCACATTTTTACCTCCCACTTTGAAGAAGAGAAAAGCAGAAGTACTCTACCATAATTAAAACAAGTTTATATATGCACATTAATTGTCTCCAATTATTTTGTACCTGCACTTGACCAAGGAGCTTGGATAGCCAGCTTTGCTGGATCTTTATGCTGATGAAAAAGCTTATTCAGTTTTTCTTGTACTTCCTGTTTGTTCTTGTCTTCGTGTTCCTTCTTCTTACTTAATTCTTCCCATTTTTGCTTTTCTTCTTCTTGAATTTTTCTTGGCCTCTGGTGTTCTTCTTCCTGCTGTATTCTATCAAGCCACTGTCTCTCCCGTTCTTGGATTCTTCTAATGAAAATACAGAATAATAAAATGGGTGTGACATAGAACTGTATTTCAGAATCTGAACATACCTCTTGTGACTATTTATTAGTATTATTAGCAGCACCTACTGAGAGCACTGTAATACAGATTCACCACTGATAGAAACTGACAAATAAGAGAAGCTTATTGTTAAGTTTCTCTGTTGAATGTGTAGGACAAGGCAGGAATGTTAATACTTCTTCCAGATAAAACAAAGTTTACACCAATTCCCTGGAGCAATATGTCCCTCCAAGTTTCAGAATGATCAAATAAAAGGCTTTAACTTTTTTAAAAAACAACCCACCATAGAACAATAAATCTGAAATCAGTGTATGCACCATTCTATTCTTCTACAAGCTACCAACAAAGGAAAGACAAAGAGAGAGCAATGCAGGCCTGCAGCTACAGTAGGGCATTGGGGGGTCTGCCCCCCCGACTTCCTGCCAATGCCCCCTGACTTCCATCCAGCCCCCAGGTCCCCCAGCTCTGTGGGCCACCCAGAGGACTCCCAACTTTCTGAGCCACCTGGAGGATTCCCCTCTGCCACCCCTTCTCCAAGTGTGGCTTGCTTCCCTGTGTAGGCAGGCAGAGTGTGAATGCTGCAAAAGTAAGTTTTGTTTTTTTAAAAAAAATATTTTGTGATGTCAGTGCCCCATGACCTATTTAGAGGCCCCACAAATTACAAAATCCTGGCCACGGGCATGGAGCAATGCAAACACAGTTTGACCCAGCACTACAGATTCTGATTAATGTACAAAAGTCTTAAGATTGCCAGGTCATCTCTCTGACAGTTCAGGATCTACCAAGATCCCAGGCTACCAAAAGAAACCTCTACTGAGCCAGTTTGGTGTAGTGGTTAAGAGCGCAGACTCAAATCTGGGAGAACTGGGCTTGAGTCCCCACTCGTCCACATGCAGCCAACTTGGTGACCTTGGGTCAGTCACAGTTCTCTGAAGAGCAGTCTCTCAGAGTTCTCTCAGCCCCACCCACCTCACAGGGTGTCTGTTGTGGGGAGAGAAAGGGAAGGAGATTGTAAACTGCTCTGAAATGCTGAGTGAAGGGCGGGATATAAATCCAATCTCCTTCTCCTCCTTCATTTCAGACTGCCCCCCCCCGCCCTTCATAATTTTTTCCCCCATCTGGAATTTCCTAGCACTTTTCTTTGAGCCTATCTATCCCATCCTCTTGAGAGAATGCACTTCAGAATTTGCCTAAGTCCTTTTTTCTGTATATACTGTTCCATTTGGAAATAAACAGACATTCCTTGAACATGCATTAGAACGTGTGATTTGGTAATTATCTGTTGGACAGCAGCTACACTGCTTTTAAATAAACATGGTTGCTACTGTATGTTCTGTCCACTGAATCTGTTGTAGTTTATGTCATGACATTTTGTAATTGTGATGAGTACATATTCAGTCACATCAGGCAGGGGGGTAGGGAGTTGGAAGCAATGATCTGTCTAAGCTCCACAGTGTTGTGAGCAGAAATTCTACCTTGTGAGCAAAAAAAGTAGGGCAGAAAGTAGTGAGCATTAAATTGTGAGTGAGTCTACAACTGACTATCATGTAAATGGAAGATTTCCTTCACTTACTGTGAAGCTTCCTTTCTTGGTGGTTCAGAAGTGGGACAGTCCTTACTTATGGGATAAGCTCCTCCTCTGGTAGCAGGGTCGGCTTCAAGCTTTGATCCAGGCAGGGAGGGGCTTATTTCCTAGAGGCATCTCAGTTGTCTCCAAGCCGGCCTCTCCCCACAAGGCAAACTATTAGAAGGAAGGACACTTCTCCAAACTGGAATAACTACTATAAATTACTAAAGTAAACAAATCAACTAACGTAATCACAGCAGAACCTTCCCTTTACATTTCAGTGACAAGAGGGGAAACATGTGTCCAACCTGCCAATCAGATGTATTTAACCTGGTAGTTGCATACCCTCCCTGTAAACCAGTGAAGCCACACCCACAAATTGGGCGAGCAGGACTGTCCCACTTCGGAACCACCGAGAAAGGAAGCTTCACAGTAAGTGAAGGAAATCTTCCATTCTCCAGTGGTTCAGATAGTGGGACAGTCCTTACTCACAGGATGTAAAAAAGCAGTGTGCCCCAAGGGAGGGTCGGTTTGCTTCCTCATTTACAGGGTGTGTTGGAACACTCTGCGGTCAAAGGCCGCCTCAGCTGATGCCAACTTATCCACTCTATAATGCCTAGTGAAGGAATGTACAGACCTCCAAGTGGCCACTCTATAGATCGTTTCCAGAGAAGGGAACGATTGGCAGACAACTGATGTTGCTGTTCCCCGTAAGGAATGTGCCACAGTCCCCTCGGGAGGTTCGACCCTTGGCCTTGTAAGCTAGGATAATGCAGCCCTTAACCCATCTGCTAAGATTGACAGTAGACACTTGTCCCCCCCAAAGAGGACTTTCTGAAAGACTCAAACAGCATTTCTGACTTTCTCCATTGCTTAGTTCTATCAATATAGAAACTAAGGGCCCTTCGAACGTCCAGGCAATGCCATTCCCTTTCTTTATCGCGCTTAGGGTTTGGGCAGAAAGTAGGCAACACCACCCCCTCTGCCCTATGGAAAAGGGAATTCACCTTAGACACAAAGGCCGGATCTGGACGAAGGACCACCCTGTCATTGTGAAACACACATAGTTCCCTATTGACTGACAATGCCCTCAGCTCCGTCACCCTACATGCCAAAGTTATCTCCATCAAAAATAATGTCTTAAAGGTTAGTTCCTTTAAGGGGCATGAAGCCATGGGCTCAAAGAGATGCTTACACAACGCCCTCAGGATGGTATTCAGATTCCAAGCGGTGAACCGGTGCACCTGATGTGGGTTTAATAGGGTAGTACCTCTCAAGAATCTTTTAACATGAGGGTGTTGAAGCAATGACTTTCCGTGGCTCCCCCCCCCCCAGTACTGCCAAAACCTGCCTCTTCAACGTGCTAGTACAAAGACCTTTGTCTAGGCCATCCTGCAGGAATCACAGGACAGTGCTGACTGAGGCTTTTAGGGGTTCTATCTCAGGCTCCATGCACCAGGAGTGCAACACCTGCCAAGTGGTGTTGTAAACCTTATTGTTGGATCCTTTCCTGAGTATTAGTGTTAGACCTTGAGTCACCAGATCCTCTTGTACGGGCAGGCGCCATGGTTCCGCTATCGAGAGCTTTTTTAGGTCCTGAAACCACACTCTTCGAGGCCAGAACAGTGCTACCACCCTTCTGTTGATGTATCTTTTGTATCACTCTGTGCATTATTTGCACTGGTGGGAACGCATAAAGGAGCCCTTGTAGCCAGTTGCAATTGAGTGCGTCGGTTCCCATAGCCTGATTGTCTCTTGTTCTGGAAAAGAACTCTGGAATTTGATGGTTTGATTCTGCTGCAAACAAGTCCAGGACTACTATTCCGAACCTGTTGCAAATTTGAGTGAAAATTATCTTGTTCAACATCCATTCTGACTGATCCAGACACCTCCTGCTCAGCCAGTCCAGCAGCACATTGTCTTTTCCTGCCACATATATCACTTTCAATGATAGTAGATGACTCTCTGCCCAGACAATTAATTCGCTCGCTTCCTTGTGTAGGGCACGAACTCTGGTCCCGCCCTGTTGGTTCACATATGCCTTTGCTGTCATGTTGTCCATCAAGTACATGCCGTCCCGATAGCAATTCTCTGAACCTCAATAAGCCCAGCTTTATCGTCCTGAGCTCTAGGAAGTTTATGCTCTTCAACACTTCATCCTGAGACCATTCTCCCTGTGTCATCTGTCCGTTCAAGTGAGCTCCCCACCCTGAAAGACTTGCATCTGTAGTCATCACTATTCTTGGAGGGTTTCATAGTGGAACTCCCTGTTGTAAGTGGAGTGGTACTAACCACCACCTCAATTGTTGATGTACTTCCTCTGGGAGTTGTAGCATCTTGCATCGCTTGTGTGCTATCTCCTCCTGGTAAGGAAGAAAAATCTCTGCAGTGGTCTGGCATGGAACCATGATCACTGTACAACTTCTTGACAGGACACCATCCTGCCCAAGAGCTTCACAAGAACCATCAACTCTGTCCTGGTTTTCCCCAGCACTTCTGCTAACAGGGACCGAATGTTCTGCTCTCTTTCCTGGGATAGAAACACTCTGTCTTTCATCGTGTCTATTTGTATACCCAAATGAACCAGTCTCTGAGTTGGATGAAGGTTGCTCTTCTCCCTGTTGATTACAAACCCATGATCCCTTAGGGTAAGGACCCTTAGGTTGGACACCTCCATGTTCTCCTGAAATGATGGTGCTTTGATTAGAATGTCGTCCAGCTAAGGAAACAATGCCACTCCCTGTAATCTGAGCTATGCCACTAATGTTACTAGCACCTTGGTGAATACTCTCAGTGAAGATTTTAAACCAAATGGGAGAGCCTGGTATTGGAAATGCTGTCCGCTGTAAGCAAATTGAAGGAATCTCCGATGAGCCTTGCAGATCGGGACGTGTAGATAGGCTTCTGACAGGTTGATAGACATCAAAAAATCCCCCTCCTGAATGGCCAATAGAAGTCCAAGCATCTTGTGGAGATTGGAGCAATAGAAAGGGTACCAACCTCCCAGCAAAAGCAAATAGTATACTCAGTATTCTTTATAGTTCCAAAGAAAAATGGGGATGTCAGGGTAATTCTAGATCCGAAGTGGCTAAACAAACGCATAAGGTCCGTAAAGTTCAGAATGGAAACTTCTTCCTCTGAGAGTTCCCCCTCCTCTGCCCCCAAGGAGGAGTCTGTGGAGCCAGACTCTTCTTCCCTGCCATCCAAGAAGGGACTATGTTCTCTGGGGGGGATTTATATTGCCTCTTTTGTTTACGTCTAGAATGGCATCTAGAGGTGCTTGATCACTCATCTTAGGATACAGCTCCTAGGATACAAAATGGCTGCCGCCCTTCTTTCCCGCCTAATCCATTGCCTCCCCATAACCCTTTACAGAGTTGGCCATTTACCGGTAGCCTTTGTATCTAGACCTTGCGTGGAGATCCCCCCCCCCCAAGTACTAGCCAGGGCCAATCTGCTTCAGAGTACTTTAGGCTGTCATTCTGGGCAGCTTTGTCACAAGAACCTTCTGCGCATTGGTGGGGAATGACTGCCCCGCAGATTGCTCAGCCTTATCTATGGGAAGGCCTTGGGTTCTCCAGGCCTCCCTAGCCTTGCTCCTTCCCCCTCCAGGAAAACCCTGGGTAGCCTTGGGGTCTGCCGATTGCAGGAAAGGAGAACTCACCATAGCTCAGACGAAGAAGGGTCAGGTTCCCGTCGACAGAGCTACTCAGCCAGTTCAGTTTCTCCACAGTCAGGGAGGTAGCCAGTTCATTGGCATCACCCCACCGCTGGCTGCAAACTCTACCACACCCCTTGGCCACTTAAAGGGGTAGGCTCCCGGCCCAAAGGTTGGAGGCCGGTGGGAGTCTGCCGCGAGCCCTTGGTCCTTCGCGGTACCTGGGGACCTCCTGGCGCCACTGGCTCTCTCCTTTCCACGCCGCCGAAATTGCATGGGCTAGTGCTGCGGCCCGACTTCTTCTTCCTTCCTTCCTTCTTCTCTGTTCGCTGCACTGACTAGCGCTGCAGTAGCATTTCCTACTCTGAAGCAGGGCCAGGAAGAACTGGAATGCCTCTAGGGGATAAGCCCCTCCCCGCCTGGATCAAAGCTTGAAGCCAACCCTGCTACCGGAGGAGGAGTTTATCCCATGTGTAAGGACTGTCCCACTATCTCAACCACTGGAGAATCAGCTTTTTAGATGATTACTTCCATAACCTTGTAAAAATCTCAGAATAAATTCTTTTAAATTATATTTCAACTATATTTTAAGAAGAATTTAAACATTATAAGAGAAAACAGAATCAAGTCAAATTTCACCCAATCCTTTTCTACAATATTGGTAGACCTGTCCTCCAGAGAACAGGTCTACCCACCCCAGTCCACTATATTGGTAGACCTGTCCTCTGGAGAGCAGGTCTACCCACCCCTTTCTACTATATTGGTAGACCTGGTCTTGGACTGTCACCCTGTGCTGAGCTTTAGAAAACATTCCAGCACTTTGGGGGAGGGAAGACTCTTGCAGTCTACTTTGGGTTTTTTAGTGAACTATGACAACCAGCATTACAGCTCAAGTATAACAGAGGAGGAACAATCACTGTCAGAACCCTGCCTAACCTAACAAACAGGAAGTTGCTTAAATGTTATCAACCTGCCCAAACTACTTATTTATTCAAATATTTATATCCCATTTTTCCCCGTGACTCAAGGCAGCTTACAAATCATACTGAAAAGCATAATAGGGGTGTGCAAAACAAGGCATTTTTCCCAGCTCCATTGTAGCTTATGGGGACTATTATAGTCAATAGGTCTCATAGGCTATAATGGAGAACCAATCCTGGGGTATCTGGGGCTCGTGGGAGATGTTTTTTGAGGTAGAGGCACCAAATTTGCAGCATAGCTGCTGGTGCCTCTCCTCAACCCCACCCCCAAGTTTCATAATTATTGGACCAAGTGGTCCAATTCTATGGGCCCCAGAAGGAGGTGCCCCATCCTCCATTGTTTCCAATGGAGGGAAAATGCCTTGTGGGTTGAAAGCAGTAATTCCTGCACTGCCTGTTTAAATTTTGTGCACCAGAGCTCCCTAGCACAGCTTAGAGGGAACTATGGTTGGGAGCCCTATCAGAACTATTTATTTTCCATAAGGTATTGCACCGAAAGTCCTCATTTCTCAATATGTTTTTTCACAGCAGTGAAAAATGGTTCTCCGGGATTTCTGCCCTGATCACATTTACCAAAAAAGAGTATCTTTAGCACCACCTAGCTACATGCAAGGCTTGGTCTAGGTAACATCAAGATGTTGCACTCATTGCGTCTTACAAACCAAACTCATGTGTTACAAGGTTGCTATATCCACTATTAACATACGAATAAAGAAATATAGGGACCTGGCCTATTGAGCCAACTCCAGTTTGTATACCAACTGCAGCCTTTCCTAGAAAAAACCAGCTCACTGTGATTGTCCTTGCTCCCATCACTGTTAAGGTTAGATTATTGTAATGTAGTCTGTGCCTCTGAAGATCTCTTGGAAACTTCAGCCAGTCCATTGTGTTTCAGAAAGGATTTTGACAGGGAAACTAATAGTTTATATCTGGGTGAATGCTTAAAGTTCTGTGTAGTCTGGGCCCAGTATTTCTGAAAGATTATCTACTGATATATGAATCTACTCATTCACTGAGATCTTCTTAAAAGGCCCTCCTCTGCATAATGCTGCCCAATGAAACATATTTGTGAAAATGGAATATAAATAAATAAATGCTCCTTGAAGAGCATCTACTTGGGCCCCATCATTTTCCAGCATTATAATGTAGCAGCCTGAGTTTCAGCAGTAGAAGAAGGAACTGGATTTGTACCCCGCCCTTCACTCAGTGTCAGAGCGGTTTACAATCTCCTTCCCTTCCTCTCCTCAAAACAGACACCCTGTGAGGTAGGTGGGGCTGAGAGAGCTCTGACAGAAACTGCTCTTAAGAGAACAGCTCTGAGAGAACTTGTGACTGACCCAAGGTCACCCAGCTGGCTTATATGGAAGAGTGGAGAATCAAACTTGGTTCTCCAGATTAGAGTCTGCTGTTCTTAACCACTATACCAAACTGGCTCCAAGACATCTGCCCCTCATAAAGACACTATCTAGGGATATAAACTGATAAACTATGCCCATGTAGGAATTAACACAGTATGTTTAGTAAACCAAAAAGTGGAGAAACATGCCCCTATGTTGAACTTCAGTCTTCTTTCAATATATAGGCAGTGGATCTTCTGCAAATTGTCAGAGATCCAGATGTTCAAATTTGTGCATTGTGGAAGGGCCACAGCGCAGTGGTAGAATATCTGCTTTGTATGCAGAGGGTCCCTGGTTCAATCCCTGGTTTCTCCTGTTAAAGGATCTGGTAGTAGGTGACGTGAAAGACCCTGGTGAGCAACCACTAGTCAAGACCAACCATCTGATTTTGTATACGTCAGCTTTATGGTTCATAGCAATTGTGAAATAAAGTTCCTATAAATTAACTTACCTCTGACTATCTTTTTGTTTTTCCAGTTCTGTCTTTTTCTCATGCTCCTTTTGTTTTAGCTTGTCAGCTTCTATGCTTTTTTGCTTCTGCAGCTGCTGCTTATTATGTATTTCCCTCAGCTCCTGCAATAAAGGAGTAGTCTATTACCAAATGCTTCACAAATATATTTTAAATGGCTCCATGTTTCTGAAGTGTGAGGAACCACCAGATTGTTCAACTTTACTGTGCTTTAGTCTATAAGAATAGTTGTATCAAACCTCTTCAAACTACCACAAGTCACTGTGGGTTCATCAGGTGCTGTGTGGGGAAAGATTTAAACTGGAACAGTGGTTCTTAACTTTTAACCCACTGCCACCACCAAGTATTCAATATCACACCACTGAATACTTCCGATTTATTTAAGTATTTATATGCCACCATCTTTCCTACCAATCACAGCAGATCACAAAAAGCCTGTCTCACAGAAAATTAAAAGAAGTACAAAGCTACAGAACTTTCCCTCAAAATAATACCATGGTATTAACTGCAGTCTGCAAAATGCCCACCTAAAAAGAATTTTGATCTAACATTTCTTATGAAAGACAGACCAGAAAGGGGGCTTCCTCATCTCCTTGGGGATAATGTTCTGTAATAGGGATGGGAACGAACCTAAAAAGGACAGTTCGGTTCTGCCGACAAACTGAACCCCAGACCTAAGTGACCCAAATATGCTTCACCCAAAATGAACAGGTCCAGCAAGTTTGGTTCCCACTTTCTCCACAGCCGGAAGAAAGGGGGTGGGGACTGCTCTGGAAGGGATTTCCCCTCCAACTTTCTCCCAGCCACAGCTTGGTGAGGCCAGGAGAAATGGGGGGACTGCCCGAGAAAGGACTTCCTTTCCCCCTTCTCCTAGCCATGGCTCACCATGGCCAGGAGAAAGGGATTGCTCGGGAAGGGGCTTCATTTAACCCTTTGGTTAAATGGCTGGCTAACTTTTGGGTTTTGCTTCCCGAACATCAGTTTCTGAGCTCTGAACTGGCCCAAGTTAGGCCGGAATTTTGTCTTGTGAGCTGGTTTTTGCCCATCCGTATTTTGTAACGTTGGAGCCACTACTGAAGAAAGGGAAGGCCTGTGCTCTGGCTGAATGGACTGCTCAATGGAAAGGAACAACCAGGATGCAGTCTTGGGAAGATACTTATTTATTTATGTTATTTATGATCCGCCTTTGAAACATGGACTCATGGAGGATCACACAGAGTGATTCAGTACTATCAACAAAATGGGATATTCAATAACTAATGCATTAGGATAACATTTTTTATGAGGGCCAGATTTCACATAAATGGGACTTTTTCGGACTGGGCCATGTGTGTCATAAAATGTAATGCCAGGTAGCAGAGATATAAATTTTATGAATGACATAGACAAACACAGTTAAAGATATTATAGTAGCTATGCCATTGGAGGATGTGTGTGTATAAAACTAATATTTCTCTGCAAAATGGAAGTTCTGTGAGTTTGTTGAACTCTATATTTTAACTGTGGTTGATCCCAAACCTCTCCCCCTTGAAAAAAAGAAACTACAAATATAAATGGTCTGAGCCTAGGATCCAGGGGAAAAACATGAAATGGCTGAGCACTTGCAAGCCCACCCAACCCACCTTGTCAGAGTCAGGTGCCTAGGACTTTAAAGTACTGCAGGGACAGATAAGGACTTCCCAGAAAATGCGCTCTAGCCTGCAAGCTAGCAAAGATGGGATTTGGTCTGGGAGACTGCACTGTATGTGTGTGTGTGGTTTTTTTAAAAAAAAAAAAAAAATTAAACAATATAACAATACAATAGGGGACCCGCAACAAACTGTTGCCATCCCATCCTATTGGCATTTCAGTGCAGTGGAAGAAATAGCCAAGCCCACACATCTCCAGGCAGAATACTGCAGACTCACACTCCTTTTTTTTGCCCCCTGGAGGGGATTTTTATTGCATTTTCTATAAACTACAACGAAAAAATAGGGAGGGAACATCTACATCTATGGAGAAAGGAAAGAAATCCAATACTAACTAAAACCCCAAGTATATGAGATCATTAGATCAGCTTATAAGTCCTAGACGGACATCACATCCATGTTGCACTTCTTTAAGTTCCCAGACTCTACCCTCCTCAGATACTACTTCCAAATCCACTGGCTCTTCCCCAACACTTAATGTTGTCATTTTCCCAGTTCGGCAAGACACTTTGTTGTCAAAAACCTGTGACAGACCCATCTCATCACATTACTAAGGATTGAGCCCTGACTACCAGGGATGCCAATCCCCAGTTGGGGGCAGGGGATCCCCTAGGTTGGAGCCCCTCCACCCACTTCAGGGCTATCAGAAAGTGGGGGGAATAGCCGCTGGGCACTCCATTATACCCTGTGGAGACCGGTCCCTATAGCGTAAACGCACGTGCTTTCTCTATTTGCAATTGTAGAAGTTAAAATTCATTCGAAGCTTGCTTTTTTTCGTACATTTGTACCTTTTTCTTAACTTTTTTAGAGTTGGCATCCATTTCCGTTACTTTCTCAGCTATTTGCTCCATCTTTTTTGTAGTTTCAGAGAGTTGGAGCTGCTAAGCTGCAAAGTTCTAATTTAAAGTTGTCAGCTGTTGATTGATGTTAGTCATCTGGTCCAGTAGAGGGCGCAAAGAGTCCACCAGATGCATAGAGAACTCAGTGGTCTCTTCCAGTCGTGGGCTCATGCTCCCCGGTGGTTTCACTTTTGCTTGTTTTTCTCTCTCCATTTTTTTTCACGCCATTTTAATGGATTGTTTACTTTTGTATAAACTCGCTAAAGTCTCTGAAATTCGCCCATATGCTAAGTTTCTTAAAACAGATTTCAATGCTTTAACTTCTGCTCCCTTCCCTTGTTAACTCACTTTTTAGGTCATGCCTATGGGAGGGGCCCCTCCCCCACTCGCTTTCCACTCGCTTTTGTCGCCGTTCCCAGGGAAGGGCTTTCTTTTTTAATTATCGGCATTTCGCTTTTACTCGACTCAATGTTTGTTGTTGGTCATAAGACCTCAGTTAAAGTCCATTTAAAATGCTCAATCTCCGACGTTTGTCCCGGTCAGCGGCTCTAGTTCCATTTGGATGCATAGCAGCAGGACTGCCGGGGTGGGAGAGCACCTCAATTCCCCAGCAGCGCGCTGGTGAAGAGGCCACCCTCCAAATGCCCCATGGCTAGGAGCCTTTCACAAAGTGACGAACAATTGCCCACCCTCCTAACCGCTAGCGCGCAGATCGCACCCCTGGGAGGTCCAGGAGGTGCGTCTGCCAGCGTGTCGCCATAAACCAGAAGCACAATCTCAGTATTACTGAGGTGTGAATCCAGGTGACCTGATCAGCCGTATCAAGGCCATCTTTTGGGCTACACTGAGTTGGAAGAAGGCCTTTTTTCAGTACCATTAATTTGCTTTTCCAGTAATAACGTTGCATCCAATATAACCCCAAGGCTCTTAAGTAAGTCAGCAAAGCCTCTGCCTTCAAGGCCTCTGCCTTCCCAACCAGCATTACCTCTTCTTTTCAAGGTTTAATTTCAATTTATTGATTTTTAGCCAGTTAACCACTGTGGCCAGGCAGTGATTCAGGACCTCAAGGTATATAGATATACCTATATAAGGGTATATAGGATATATAGAGCTGAGTAGCAGCAGCATATTGATGACAACCAACCCCAAAACTACAAATGATTCTCCTAATACACAGAGACTGAAAATCATGGGGGATAGAATTGCACCCTGTGGAGCTCCATAAAATAGGTTCCACAATAATGACAACTAGTGCCCTGAGGATAGCCCAGGCAAGCCTGATCTAATCAGATCTTGGAAGCTAAGCAGGGTTGACTCTGGCAAATACTTGGATGGGAGACCTCCTTGAAATACTAGAGGCAGGAGGCTGTGGCAGGCTTTATTCAGCCACCTCTCCAAATATCCTCCAGGCCCCCAGTAGTGGTCAGTCACCAGAGGTCACCATGACTTCCAGCTGCACACAGTCAGTCACTAGAAGTCGCCATGCTTCCAGGTGCACCCACATGCATGCACACACACACGAACACATACATACATCTACAAAATACCAAAAAAATTAATGACGACTAGTTTCCAATAGCAACCCTTTGCATCTGATTCATAAGGAATTATTTTACCCAGTTCCACACACAGCCCTGATCCCTACTTTGGTCTCCAGGTGCCTCAACAAGATAGCATGATCTACTGTATCAAAGGCTGCAGATAAATCCAGTGAGAGCAACAGAGAGGCCTGCGCTTTGTCAACACTCAGACAGATAAGAAGTGGCAAGCAGGCTCATGACAACATAAAAACAGCATTGTAGACAACTTTCTTATATATAACATAGGTATACCTGGACAAATAGACAGAGATCTTATGTAAACATTCAATGAGATGGTTATACGTGATGGCAACTTATTCTGTGCCATTTTGTAAAGGGCTTGTGGAAAGAATCTAAGCTCTGGGATTCCAACCTTATTGCTGGGTAAGCAGAAAACTGTTCTTCATTTGCTGTTGGAAGCAATTGCAAATAGGGAGAAGGCAACTGCCTAAAATCCTGAACGCTGCCCAAGCAGGGGTGCAGCATTTCCATGAACCTTCACTCCAAGTTTCTGTGAAACCTCTCTCAGCCATTTATTTATTTATTTATTGTTTCAACTTTTACCCTGCCCTCCCCGCCGAAGCAGGCTCAGGGCGGCTTACATAAAACCAATAAAACAAGATACATATCACAATAAAAATACATAAAACATGACATAAGACCGCTACTATATCAATGGCGGTACAGTATAATAAAGTTCATTCATTAACACGTTCAGCAGTGGATACCATTCTAGGTAGCTTCTAGCTCTAGGTTAGCACAGGGCTTAGCTGATAAAGTGCAGCTCCTATCGAAATGCCTGCCGGAAAAGCTCCTTTTCATGGCCCTGTGGAACTGTGATAGATCCTGCAGGGCCCTGATCTCGCCAGGGACCTCATTCCAGCAGGTTGGAGCTGCCAAAGAGAACGCCCTAGTCCTGGTCGATGTCAACCTGGCGTCCTTCGGACCAGGGAGGGCCAAGCGGTTTTGTGATCCTGATCTCAGTGCTCTCTGGGGAACATGCAGGGAAAGGCGGTCCCTCAGGTAGGCAGGTCCCTGACCATAAAGGGCTTTAAAGGTCAAAAACAGCACCTTGAAGCAAATCCGGTGTGCTATTGGCAGCCAGTGCAATGTCTTTAGCACAGGCTGGATGTGCTCCCACATAGGGAGACCCATCAACAGCCTGGCCGCCGCATTTCATGTAGACATTTTCATATGTATTTATTTTGCAAAATTTATATCCTGCCTTTCTATCCTTTCAGGCCACGTCCATTCCAACAACTGCCTCCAGGCACTGGTTTAGGGTTTCTACAGCATCCCTAGGATCAGATGCAAGCACGAGATAGAGCTGAGTGTCATCTGCATATGGGTGACAATCCAGGCCAAATATCAAGATGACCTCACCCAACAGTTCCATGTAGATGTTCAAGAGCATGGGGGACAAGATGGAGCCTTGTGGGACCCCCATAGGCCAAAGGTCAACGGAGTGAGCAGCACTAACTCCTGAAACCTTCCCTCCAGGTAGGAGCAGAACCACTGCAAAAAGGTACCTCCCGGATTCTAGTCTGGAAAGGCATTCCAGAGGATACCATGATCAATGGTATCAAAGGCCAAGGAGAAGTCCAGAAAAATCAACAGAGTTGCACTGCCTCTGCCTCCAGAGTAAATCACCAGGACAACCAAGGCTGTTTTAGTCCCATAACCAGGCCCAAAAGCAGACCGGAAATGATCCAAATAATCTGCTTAATCCAGGAAATCTTGAAGTTGTCCAGCCATCACTGTTTTATCACCTTGCTCAATGATGAAACCTTTAAAACTGGTCAATCGTTATTGAGATCTACTGCGCCCAGGGTAGAGCTAGAAGTGGATGTACCACTGCCTGTTTTAAGGCTGAGGAAACAAACCCCCCCCTCTCAAGGAGGCATTAACTATGGCTCAGATCCAGCCCACTCACCCCAACAGATTTAAATTCTTGTACTAAAAAAGAATTTGCAGATGCACTGTCAGGTTAAAAGCTGGTACATTTCTGTTGATGCTGATGTTAAATTTAGGAGCTCTACTCAAACGTTTATATAATTTATTCTGCTTCTTCTGAATTTGCAGAATTGTATTTGCTTGACTACGTAATCGGGACTCTTGACTTGCAGAAACGATAAACTAAAATTTGTCAATGATCTAATGTCTATTCAGTAGTCAAAAATATTACTTCCTCTACCTTATAGCCTTTTAGATTTGCTTGGACAATAGCAGTTGACATGGTTACCTTTAGCTGATTATTGAATATATCAATCTCTTGAAGTTTTGATCTGGTGTCTTTCTCTACTTCATCTAACTGGTCACGAAGCTGCTGGCGTGCTAATTCCTTCACTTCTAAGGCTCTTTTGACAGTGAGAAGTGAATCTCCTGTTATTGAAAAATAGATATTGTATTGTCAATCTGTCCTTCATTGGGGGCATAAATCTCAGAGTCATATTTAAAATAATGCCGTCAAGGGGCTGGAGCCTAAAAACTACAAAGTGAAATTCTGCTTGTGGAATTACGCAATCTGGCTTCTTCACTCCTCTATGGTCTTGTGCCACCCCCCTTCCTTCTGGAACAAAATCTGAGAGCATTGAGGAGGGACAACTGGCAGAGACCCTGCTGCCTAAGTGCCTTTTTCTCATGTTAAGGCACCACTGGATTCACGCCAAGGTGAACAATGAGCTGTAGCCCACCAGCTTCTTTGCTGCTGAAAAAAGGAGGAAGGGTTTACACGGACCACCAAAAAAAAGCTATGCTATGGAGCATGGGATTGGAATGTACGAAGCCCATATTAGATGTGGGCTTTATAAGAAAGGAGACTGGGTGAATGAAAAAGCTGGTTGAAGCCAGCCCAATGTTTTAAATATACTTACTGTGCAAACTATTCTGTTGAACCTGTTTTAAATGATCATTAAGTAACTGTTTTTCTGGAATTAGCCTTCCAAGCATTTGCTGAGATTCCTGAAAACAATAAAATAGGAATGATTGCTTATCTTCAGTTTTGCCTCAGCCACAAGTTTTAGACAACTTTCAATCATACACTTCATTAACACAATACTTAAACTACCTGTGAAAGTAAACAGTAAAACTTTATACCCCACCACGTAAAAGTATGAATAAACCAAATAGGGATGAAATGCTTTATAGATGTCCCGTCCCCTTGCTCATATAATGTCCAGATACTTCATACAGTTCCAAAAAACCTAGGCCTAAGGACCACCTATTTGTCTTTGTATATCAAGCTCTTATGAACAGATTACATCTCTAGAAGCATATTTTTCCCAGGATACATAATGCAGAATTTATTAAAGAGGTAATACATTCCCTCTTCACTAACATGTTGTGGGCAACAGTGCATACAATATACAAATACTACAGTAGCCAATGCATTGCTGTGTAATGGGGATGCATTTAAAAATTCACACCACAGGCACAGAATTTAAATCAGACCTGTTCCAAGCAAGAACAGTGGTAGATACCAGCAGCCTAGTTAAGTTAATCAATGCCCAGTGTGGCTAATGGCCCTGTCAGTCTGCCTCTATACCTGGCTCTTAGAATCTTGCTCCTCATCGCCCAGCTAACAAGACTTTCAGGATAGCAGAAGAGTTCATAGAGTTGGCAGAGTGGACCTCTCTCTGTCTTCCTCTTTCCCAAGAAGCTGACCATTTACTCCCAAACCCCTCTCTGAGGATCAGGAGAACCTTGCAACCAAAATGTGCCACAGGATGGGGGTGCTGCATGACAAGGAGGGGGAAGACAAATAAAGCTGCCTCCTCTATCGCCAGCTGATTCAAGGCATGAGTGAAAGAGAAAGAAAGGCAATTTTATCTGATGCTCCGTATTGCTTCAGAGCCCCATCCTGTGGTGCACTCCCCCCCCCAGGCTTTCCTGATCCTCAGAGACGAGTTTTAGGACAAACAGCAGGTTATTGGGGAAGACAAGCCTGAGCTTCGCTAATTCTAACATCAAATACTGACTACATTTACTGAAGCTACTCTGTTTTTGCCATCGCCATTTAAACTGTTTACTAGCACCTTATGTTGTGTTTTTAAGCTTTTACCTATATTGTTTTAGCTACAGCATTTTATGTAAGCCACCCCGAGCCTGCTTCAGCGGGGAGGGCGGGGTATAAATCAAATAAATAAAATATATTCTGCCAGCTTCTGAGAATTCTTCCACTGGACTCCACCCAATGTCAGTTCAATCTTTACAGTGAACTTTGCCCCACACTGCATAGACACTTTTTGAAGGCTAGCCTTTATACCCCCTGAACCTGTATTTCCTACTACAGGTAAGCAAGTCTAGGCAAAGTGTAACAACCCATACTTGTTAATTCCAGTTTCCCACAACAGGACAATTTTCAGTCCTATGTATTGCAGCGGAAGAGATGCAAGCAAAGACTTAAATCTAGCAATAGGATTTAAGAGAGCCTTAACTTGGCTAGCCTGAGACTTTAGCTTTTAAAACTATAGCAAACAGTCTAGCCAGATCTGGGAAGGGGGAAAGCAGCTCTTAAAAAATAAGTATCTCCTAACACCAAAATATATGTAGAAGGACAAGGTGAGCTATTGTTTTATAGCTTGGGGAAAAGTTATTCTCATTTTCTTTGTTCTTTTTTCCCCTAAATACAATTGTGGAATCTTTACTAATAAATTTTATGGAAATATTCAAGTTTTTCAAGTACTATGCAAGTTTTTAAAAATGTCACTCAAGATGAGTAAGATGTTGGCCATGCAGTGACTGTTTTTATTGTTATTTATTACAAATATTTCAATTCAACATTACTCTCAACATGAGATCCAAAGGGGTTTGTTTATAAAGCTTTTATGTCAATTAATAAATATGCAGAGTCTCAGAAATGAATGGAATAAGGAGTTAGATCGACTTAGTTTGTTAAAGCAACAGGATATGGCCTTAAAGTCTATACCTACTCTATGGATCTTAAGGTGAGACTTATTCAGCAAAAAATTATGTTTAGGATATACTAGACACCAAGGTGACTCTTTAGTAAAGGACTGAGTAAAGTGTCTAATTGATGGCATTGTAACTTACTGGACACACCCTTTAAACATATGCTTTGGGAGCATTAAGTCATTCAGTTTCTCTGGGAAGAAGTTATTACTCCTATCAATCTTGTATAGAATGTTCATTGATTTTTTGAGGATTTTTATGTACTTTTAAACTATCTGCCCATCTTTTGAAGGCTAACTGATGGTCAACAAAAATGGACCCTCCGTGTCCTTACTACAACACTGGGAAGATAAAAGCCCACCTCCAGTAAATCAATGGACTGAGGACCTTAGAACTCTATCAGCATTTGAACACATAGCATATAGAAGGCAATTCTGTATGGACCTATTTTTGGATATTTGGAAATGGGTTACAGAAACTTATGTGTAGCTCAGCCACCACTGTTGTTATATTTTTGTCTTATCTTTATTCCCCCCCCCCTTTTTAAATCTTATTTAATTGCTGGATTTTAAGTTCCCCCCCATGGTCCTGTCCCCCCCGTTTTATGAAAGAAAGAAATTTTAAAAATTGGGATCCAAGGGGGATTACAAAATTAAATCAATAAATTCCATTGTTATGTTAACATTTCTGATAATTACCAATTCATATTATTGTCCACTATGTGTCATTTTGCACTGTCAGTATCAGAATAGATTGAATGTAATAGCTGAATATTTTAAGACCACCACACACTTACTTGTAACTGCTGTTGCAAATGTGTAATTTCTGCTATTCTTAGCTCTCTAGATTTGTTTGTACTCTCAATCTCTTGTCTTTGGGTAGATAATCGACACCTGATATCCTGAAGTTTACCTTCCAGTTGATGCTTTTTATCATTCTGCAACAAGAAAAAAAATTATTGGTTTACTCAAGTTTTAATTAGAATACAATATGGCTATAAATATTCTTAGTCTGTCCTGTAAACCGAAAGAAAAGATGCCTATGGGAACTACTCTGTTTTATAAGGAATACATTTTGTGGCAATTTTGAATAATCAGTATAGTAAATGGAGCATCAAGTTTCCTGCAAGCAGTTTCACTTACTAGAGCTTCCAATTCGAATTCTAAAGTTTTTTTCTTGGCTTTCAGAACAACTATATCCTCTTGTTCTTTGTTCCTTTGATTCAGGAGTTCTTGCCGGCGATTGCGTTCCCACTCTAGTTGTCTTTGCCTCTCAAGTTCCCTTTTTGCAGCCTGCAGCAGAATGCATATGAAAGTAATTAACTGCTTTTTATAATGTGTCTCCCCTTATAAACCAGTCAAACACAAAACTAGTATTTTGGATGAACTGGATTTATGTTAACAGCATACGCTTACATACTCTAACAGATATACCCTCCCTCCTATACCTCTGTGGTTCAACAACTGTGAAAACATCTCTGTGCCTCTTCACTATGTGTACACAATAATGTGATTAATACACAATTTTCACTATGCTGTATCTAGCATATGCTAGAGAATGCAGATATAATGTCTAAATTTAAGGAGATCTCACATCCAAATTATCTATACCACCTCCTTGCTCAGATGTTATTACTACTCTAGAGCTGAAGGTATAACAGTAGAAAAGGTTTGCAAAATAAAGAAGGAACAGAGTACACTTTCCAGATACTCCCTGGCGAACAAAGATTTGGGCAATGTTAAAGCAGGCTGTTGTGCTTTACAACATTTTATCTAATACATCTATATATCTAATAGCCAAGTGGCCCCGTCTGTGCGGATCGCTAAATCCGCACTCCAGGGCCACCTGGGGGGCAGGGAAAGTTTTGTGCACTCTTGGGGCAGTCCCCAGGGGTGCACAAAAATCTAAAAACTAAAAAAAATATCGGGGGAATATTTAAATCCCCCCGAAAGTGTCAGAGTGTTACGTGCGCATGCGCACTGAACGCTCTGCGGAGGCTGCCGCCGCCATTTGGAAGGTGAGTGGCGAGCAGGGGGAGGCAG